AGCACCACATTTTGTTTCAGCCGTGTTGCCATTCTCACTTAATTGCTCTAACAGCCCTAGCAATTCATCCAGTTTTTCATGTACAACTTTTACTGCCTTTTCTCTTGCACTCCACCTTGTTTCTGATTCACGCTGAACAGAGATCTTAAGCTCCTGCTGCAGTTCGTCCCATCGAATTGTTGAATGAGCAAAGAAATTATAAATGGCTTCAATTATACCAAAAAAAGGTAATAACTGTTGTTTCCTGACTTGCAACATGAAGACATGCTAAGTTCAAACTATGGTTGTCACAGTTTATAAACACTGCTTTTGGATTTTTGTTCAGAATTCTTTGTTGAACGCCTGACAGATGACCTGACATGACAGCAGCAACATTTTTATAGAAAATAGAGCAGCAAATGTTTCCGACATGTTTACAGTTTAATCTGATCATTCAATCAGTGGCGGATTTATCACTAGGCGGAAAAGGCGCGCGCCATGGGCCACCAATTCATGGGGTCTCCAAACTCTAAATTAAAAATGTGCATATACATGTTTCTCATTTTTTGAAAATCGTATATTGCATATATTTTTTATTGTTTATTTTTCATTTGTTACACAAAGAACAATGTATATTACTTTCACATCAAAGTATGTGATTTAGATTTCGTCTAAACGCACTTCATATAACTATACCTTAACCCTTTAACTTCTGATAAATAGTATACTGCTTATTTTCCATTCCATATACCAAAATTAAAAGTATCCTTAGGGCAACTTAAAGATTAAATATCTTTGAAAGAACTGAATTTTGTGTTTCCACCATTTAAGTAATTCAAAACTTATTTTTAAATTTCAATAATTCACATAGGCTTGCTAACCCTCTCGGATTCGCCAGGAATACTCCAGAAGGCTTGTTAAATATCCTGGATTCTCTAAAAACATTTGCTTGCAAATCAAAATACTTTCTTGTTCAATGAAATAAAAAAAAATTATACAGAAAAAGAATGTATTACATAGCTAAGCTAAAATGATTTTGTAAAACTATAGTACATATAGTGAAAATAAATATTTCTTACAAAAATTAGAATGCTTAATTTGGGATTTTTATTCATATTTGTAAGATAAAAGTTTGTAATTATTTAGTAAATAGTTTCCTTTATATGCATGAATTGTTATCAAACTATCACTTGCATATTATCAATCACCAATTTTTAAATACTGTATATGAATTATGAAAATTTAAATATGTATATACACATACATTTATCTCACGGAATTGTATTTCAAAAAGTTGACAAAAAACAGCACACATTAGCAGCGTTATTATGCGGGAGAAGGGCATCATATTTCAGCTTGCAAACATAAGTTGTAAGATTCATTTTGCCACCTTGTGTGGCCCTCCAGTGGCACAGCGGTATGTCGGAGGACTTACAACGCTAGAAACCGGGTTTCGATACCCGTGGTAGGCAGATCACAGATAGCCCATTGTGTAGCTTTGTGCTTAACTTTAAACAACAACCACCACCTTGTGGCTGTTTTGCCCTGACAAGTGACGTTCAACTACATAGCAACCATAGGTGGGAATAACTGCTGCAAGCCCTTTACAGAAGGAAATTTAGCAACTATAGTTATATAGTGATTGTTTGTAAGTGAAGGTGTATTGTCTCTCTTTTAAATCACATTGTGCTGCAAGAAAAATGAAAAGGGTATATCAGTCTGGTGTAGAATAAAGAAAAGAACAAAAACTAAAAGAAAAACCTAGAGAAACAGAGTGGTGCAATTTATCGTTTCCTAGAACATCATGCGGCTCAATGTAAAGGAATTTGAGAAAACAACCAACGAAGATACGGCTGGTGAATCTTGTGATGATCAAATAAATATAGTTTCAACTAGCTGTAATGATCCAATCCGAAATCAAGCTGAACTTAAAACTATTCAACTCCAGCTATTAACTACTCATAGGATATTGCTTTATGGTCAGGTATAATTACTGACAAAGTTATTGACTACTACGTAATAATTAAACCCGAAAATATTGGAGACATAAGCGAATTAAAATGTGAGCATCAAGAATTAAACAGAAGTTATTTTAGAAGTTTGCAAGAACAGTATTTTTATCGTCTTAACTCGAATGGTGAAAATGAAAAACGTTAATGTTTGTCTATAGCACTACAAACAAATGTGTGATTAAAAACACGAATGGTTTGTCTATAACACTACAAAAAATGTGTGTATTAAAAACATGAATGGTTTGTCTATAACACTATAAACAAATGTGTGTATTGAAAACATGAATGGTTTGTCTATAACACTACAAACAAATGTGTGTATTAAAACATGAATGGTTTGTCTATAACACTACAAACAAATGTGTGTATTAAAATATGATTGGTTTGTCTATAACACTACAAACAAATGTGTGTATTAAAACATGAATGGTTTGTCTATAACACTACAAACAAATGTGTGTATTAAAATATGATTGGTTTGTCCATAACACTACAAGCAATGTGTGTATTGTTACGTTTGCAAGTTATTCACAAATAAGAAAGTAAGCCTTGCAAGTAAATTGATTACAGGTT